CAGGAAGGCCAAGGATGGGAAGGCAGCAAGAATTTTATCTTCCCCAGCTCATCCCTACTGCAGGGTTCAAATCCCAGCCCAAAAGCCAAGCAGGACTTGATGACACTGAAGAGCCAGGATCCCTTCTCCATCCTGGATGTCCAGACTGACACCCTCGCTGTGCACCTGGCACCAGCTGAGCTGCCTGCTCCTCATGGGAAGCACCCACAGAAGGCTGCACCCAATCCCCTTCCTCCCAGTCTGAGCGTGCTCCAGAAACCAGCAACCAGAAGAGTTTGCAGGGATGAATAAAGCACCACGTTGGGTTTGATGGCACGAGGCAGAATTTCACACTTCCGGTTTCATTCCCAAGCATTTTACAATCACAAGGGCACTTTCTCTGCCAATTTTTTTTTTAAAAAAAGCCATGAAACAAATATTTAAGGTCATTACAAGCTGCCAGGAAGCTGCAGCAAGAAATCCCTGCCCCCCTGACACTCTTTTAGGCCATTTCAAGGGCTTCAGAGGTCAGTGGATCAGGGAGCAGCTCCAGCTAAATTCAGCCTGGCTAAAAAAATGATCCAAGGCAGCAGAGTTTGATGCCACAGAGGAGGATCCAGGGCACAAGAGGATCCAAGGCACAGGAAGATCCAGGGCACAGGAAGCCCTGGGCCTAGAGGGGAAGTGAAACAAGTTTGATGATGGAACTATTAATTAAAACTGCTCAGGCTGACTGGGGAGCAGCTGCTTGGAGCCCAGACGGTGTTTCCACCGACGTGCCAAGTGTCCCCACGCGCCAGCGCTCCCTGCAGTGGCACGTGCCATTCCCAAGGGACTGTGTGGTCAGCAGGGAAGAGGGGGGTGTCCCCCCATATCCTCCCCCCTGTACAGAGCACCCCTGCCAGGGCAGAGCACCCACCTGTGGTGCTGCCCCTGCAGCAGGAACTGCTCCAGCTCCTCCGCGATCCTGCCCACGAACTCATCCTCGTTGGGCGAGAGGAAAACGCCGTCCATGCAGCGCAGAGCCAGGGTGGCAGGGGACAGGAGGCCTGGGGGGACATGGGGACAGCTGGATGCAGCTCTCTGCCCCCCCCCGGGGGTGCCCAGCACCTCCCAACAAACCCTCACAGCCCCCCTCTCTGAATGGCTGGGGGTGCCCGGTTGCAACCTGGACCCCCCCCACCCTGTGCAGCCAGGGCTGCTCTGGGCACCCCATCCCTTCCCTGGGCACCCCCAGACCCTGCTTTGCTCCCTGCACCCCATTACCCCATCCCTGGGCACCCCCAGACCCTGCTCTGCTCCCTGCACCCCATTACCCCATCCCTGGGCACCCCCAGACCCTGCTCTGCTCCCTGCACCCCATTATTCCTTCCCTGGGCACCCCCAGACCCTGCTCTGCTCCCTGCACCCCATTACCCCATCCCTGGGCACCCCCAGATCCTGCTCTGCTCCCTGCACCCCATTACCCCATCCCTGGGCACCCCCAGATCCTGCTCTGCTCCCTGCACCCCATTCCCCCATCCCTGGGCACCCCCAGATCCTGCTCTGCTCCCTGCACCCCATTCCCCCATCCCTGGGCACCCCCAGATCCTGCTCTGCTCCCTGCACCCCATTCCCCCATCCCTGGGCACCCCCAGATCCTGCTCTGCTCCCTGCACCCCATTCCCCCATCCCTGGGCACCCCCAGATCCTGCTCTGCTCCCTGCACCCCATTCCCCCATCCCTGGGCACCCCCAGATCCTGCTCTGCTCCCTGCACCCCATTCCCCCATCCCTGGGCACCCCCAGATCCTGCTCTGCTCCCTGCACCCCATTCCCCCATCCCTGGGCACCCCCAGATCCTGCTCTGCTCCCTGCACCCCATTCCCCCATCCCTGGGCACCCCCAGATCCTGCTCTGCTCCCTGCACCCCATTCCCCCATCCCTGGGCACCCCCAGATCCTGCTCTGCTCCCTGCACCCCATTCCCCCATCCCTGGGCACCCCCAGATCCTGCTCTGCTCCCTGCACCCCATTCCCCCATCCCTGGGCACCCCCAGATCCTGCTCTGCTCCCTGCACCCCATTCCCCCATCCCTGGGCACCCCCAGATCCTGCTCTGCTCCCTGCACCCCATTCCCCCATCCCTGGGCACCCCCAGATCCTGCTCTGCTCCCTGCACCCCATTCCCCCATCCCTGGGCACCCCCAGATCCTGCTCTGCTCCCTGCACCCCATTCCCCCATCCCTGGGCACCCCCAGATCCTGCTCTGCTCCCTGCACCCCATTCCCCCATCCCTGGGCACCCCCAGATCCTGCTCTGCTCCCTGCACCCCATTCCCCCATCCCTGGGCACCCCCAGATCCTGCTCTGCTCCCTGCACCCCATTCCCCCATCCCTGGGCACCCCCAGATCCTGCTCTGCTCCCTGCACCCCATTCCCCCATCCCTGGGCACCCCCAGATCCTGCTCTGCTCCCTGCACCCCATTCCCCCATCCCTGGGCACCCCCAGATCCTGCTCTGCTCCCTGCACCCCATTCCCCCATCCCTGGGCACCCCCAGATCCTGCTCTGCTCCCTGCACCCCATTCCCCCATCCCTGGGCACCCCCAGATCCTGCTCTGCTCCCTGCACCCCATTCCCCCATCCCTGGGCACCCCCAGATCCTGCTCTGCTCCCTGCACCCCATTCCCCCATCCCTGGGCACCCCCAGATCCTGCTCTGCTCCCTGCACCCCATTCCCCCATCCCTGGGCACCCCCAGATCCTGCTCTGCTCCCTGCACCCCATTCCCCCATCCCTGGGCACCCCCAGATCCTGCTCTGCTCCCTGCACCCCATTCCCCCATCCCTGGGCACCCCCAGATCCTGCTCTGCTCCCTGCACCCCATTCCCCCATCCCTGGGCACCCCCAGATCCTGCTCTGCTCCCTGCACCCCATTCCCCCATCCCTGGGCACCCCCAGATCCTGCTCTGCTCCCTGCACCCCATTCCCCCATCCCTGGGCACCCCCAGATCCTGCTCTGCTCCCTGCACCCCATTCCCCCATCCCTGGGCACCCCCAGATCCTGCTCTGCTCCCTGCACCCCATTCCCCCATCCCTGGGCACCCCCAGATCCTGCTCTGCTCCCTGCACCCCATTCCCCCATCCCTGGGCACCCCCAGATCCTGCTCTGCTCCCTGCACCCCATTCCCCCATCCCTGGGCACCCCCAGATCCTGCTCTGCTCCCTGCACCCCATTCCCCCATCCCTGGGCACCCCCAGATCCTGCTCTGCTCCCTGCACCCCATTCCCCCATCCCTGGGCACCCCCAGATCCTGCTCTGCTCCCTGCACCCCATTCCCCCATCCCTGGGCACCCCCAGATCCTGCTCTGCTCCCTGCACCCCATTCCCCCATCCCTGGGCACCCCCAGATCCTGCTCTGCTCCCTGCACCCCATTCCCCCATCCCTGGGCACCCCCAGATCCTGCTCTGCTCCCTGCACCCCATTCCCCCATCCCTGGGCACCCCCAGATCCTGCTCTGCTCCCTGCACCCCATTCCCCCATCCCTGGGCACCCCCAGATCCTGCTCTGCTCCCTGCACCCCATTCCCCCATCCCTGGGCACCCCCAGATCCTGCTCTGCTCCCTGCACCCCATTCCCCCATCCCTGGGCACCCCCAGATCCTGCTCTGCTCCCTGCACCCCATTCCCCCATCCCTGGGCACCCCCAGATCCTGCTCTGCTCCCTGCACCCCATTCCCCCATCCCTGGGCACCCCCAGATCCTGCTCTGCTCCCTGCACCCCATTCCCCCATCCCTGGGCACCCCCAGATCCTGCTCTGCTCCCTGCACCCCATTCCCCCATCCCTGGGCACCCCCAGATCCTGCTCTGCTCCCTGCACCCCATTCCCCCATCCCTGGGCACCCCCAGATCCTGCTCGCTCCTCCTCCCCCTCCTCCTGCTCCTGCTCCTCCTGGTCCTCCTGCTCCTCCTCCCTCCTGCTTCTCCTGCTCCTCCTCCCTCCTGCTCCTCCTGCTCCTCCTCCTGCTCCTCCTGCTCCTCCTCCTGCTCCTCCCGCTCCTCCTCCCCCTCCTCCTGCTCCTGCTCCTCCTGGTCCTCCTGCTCCTCCTCCCTCCCGCTCCTCCCGCTCCT